TGAGTAGGGGTAGTTTTTAGCTGCTAGGAGCTCACCGGGTTGAGTGGGGAAGGGAATGTGGCAGCAGGACCCCTCACTGGGTGCCAACTTGCACTCATAGGTTTCGCTCGAGGGATGCGAATGCACCGCATGGCTTTGTTGTCGCTCAGCTCCCGCAATGAGTGGAGGTCCCCCCTCATTGTAACGGAGCAGGTAATTTAAATCAGAGACTGATCCTTCGTTATTGGAGTGTGCATGGTCAGGAGGTGACCACCTGGGAAGGGACCAGGTCACTGCGGAGGATGAAACGAAGGGAGACAAACTGGGTGCAGTGTTCCTCCAGTTTGATGTAAGGCGTGCTGGTGAACGCAGCAGGCATCTGGCCGGATCGGATCCGCACGACAAGCCCTCAGAAGACACGGATGAGTTTTCTCTCTGCCGAAAATGGTCTGCATAGTCGGTGGGAGGCAGCCGCGGTTCGGGGCATCCATAGGGCGGCCAGAGATGCGTGTTTCTGAAGGAGGCAGGAGACATTGTTAGATCGCCTTCCGGAAGGTAGTAGGGCCAGTACCAACCGGCATTTCCGTTGGTGGTGCTCCTAGTGATTTCAGCTTCCGGTGGGATATGATGTGACCAATCGTAGGCGTTTGGATGGGTTGGGGCCGCACAATATGCTGATCGTATAAGATCCTGACAAGACAGAGAGGATGAAAGCGTGGGCATGCAGTGGAATGTTCATGCAGAGTATCGAAAACTCATGAAGCAATAAATGCAAAACGAAAAGGTGATATAATTCAGAACATATTGTTTCAGTACAGACGCAAAACTGAAAACCTTGAAACCAAATCTGAGGTCACTTAAGGCAACCTGCCGTGAGTACTCGTCATTGAAACCTTCCCCGTTACTTAGACTGATCTCGGTCAATAATAATTACTACTTAAGTTGTACTCTTTTTCCCAAATTATTTTAAAGTATATAATTAAAAAATGATTTCTTCACAGACGCATACTGGAGGCTCGTTTCTTTACTTTGCTGCGGCGATTTGACCTCCCTAAACCCTGATCGCAAACGTGTGTTCCACAGAGTAGGCGCCAGACGGATAATGCTGCGCGGATTAGTCTGCGTGGCGAAGCAGACTTGTACAGCATCTACCACACTCTCTTCCTCGTCCACCTGGCTCCGGTGGCTCCGGACAGTGTAAATGCGACCGAAGGTAGGCTGGGGCAGCGAAAATTAAGCAACTTATCTACACGTGCCACACATGGGACCAGGTCCCACAACATGTACCAAACTGTCAAGGAGACGGCTTGGATCTTACCTGCGTGGGAGTTCTAACAGGGATGTGTTAAGCAGGAGCCACTGCAGTCTGACCTTCAGTCCTGAGGAGGACCACGTTATCCCGTCCTTTGGCAAACATCCAAAACATGACAGTTACCGCGTCGTAATAGATTCAAGCATGTCTGATGTAGAACAGGAAGGATTGCGCTAATATGCCATAACGATAAATCCCCCCTATGGGTTCACGCGGGCTCTGCATAGTCCGCTTGGCGCCTGCCGTTAGCCCATCTGGTCTTCGTATTCGTTCAGCACATTTGAAGCGCAGTCCGACATCGGGATCATCACAGTTCCTTCGAGATACTCTCACACCACAAAACCCATGGAGGGCGTCCACAGCTGCTAACATCCCTCGCAAACAGACTTATAATGCCTGCAGGGTTGAGGCTCTATGTATCTTCAGGATGCTACAAACCCTCCAAGGCTAAGAAACATGAAATCACTTCCGCCACTTATTTTGTGTTATGCGACTACAACTGGCATGCAGCGATGTCTGGACATTTGCCTCCCCCTTTCCCCGGGCTACATCAACCACGCGGAACATTTTACTATGCGCTAGCCAGTGTCATTTTTCGACCAATAGAAATAACCCCCCCGCCCCCCAACGGCACATCGTTCCTCTTACTCAGACAGCAGCATCTTACGGACTATTAAAAAGTACGAGACAATTACTGTCCGGATCGCTAAAGCTAAATATCAAATCGCAACATCGAGTTGGGGAGTGTAGTGACAACCTGATCCATGTCAAGTCGAAGATGTATGGAGCTGTTATCCTGTTGAATCGTCTAGGTGGCACAAAAACGTGGACAAACTACCAGTTTTAACCATGGAAACCAAGTCATTTTCAACCGACAGGCTTCTTGTGCTGCCTACATTATAAGGCTACAGGTTAAAGGGTGCTGTTCAGTTCGTCGGGTGTGGTATCAGTGCCGGTTGTGGACTGATCGCTTGCCCCGAAACCCATATAAGTCTAGCGTGGTCAACGAGTCAAGTGAGACCATAAACAATGCCATTTGAAGAAGACCACAGCAACCTGTGTGGCAGGGTTTTACAGTCTATCGTTCTATGGTAAATCATGCAAACGCTCCATCTCCTGGACGTGGGCTTGCCAAGACGTGACAGTCGAAAACTCGAGGTTTTCTGAATCAGAAGTCAGATTTGGTTGGATAAACTTTACTAGGCCAAGAGAAGATACTTTCTGCTCAGAGTGCAGGACAGAAGACGTTTTTAACGAGCTGCAATATGTACTCAATCGATTTTCTGTCGTATAAAATGTCACCTAAAAGTCTGAAATGCGCTCAGTTTCTAAAAGATTACCCAAGTAGAATTGCAATGTCGATTAGTGTGCAGCGCAATCCCAAGATAGTGCAGTCATGCAGGTTATTGAACGAGCTCCTTTCCTTCCGCCCGCAAAAAACTGCACTAGCTAAAAAAACGACCACTTACGTATTAGAAAATTTACTCGTTTATTTTTTGACGACATTAAAAATGCACATATATTTTGTAGAAAACGTGCAAAAATACCCTTTCTTATTATTAGTTGGTAGTATAGTACGTGCAGGAGAGTGTATCTTTCGGCTTTAAAAAAACTTTCGAGGTCCCGAATAGTTTTTAACCCGACCTACCGGTTCACTCGCATTTAGGGCTTCCGGGCTAAAAGCTGACTATTTGCCGTGTAAAGAACGTCATGCATTTCCCTACGCTATAAGGAAGACCTCACGGAGCGCTTGTACAATTTTCAAGCTGATGTGGAACCTGTTGTATACTTTATAAGCAAGGTCAACAAATGGCCAGATGCGATGCGTTATGAATGGATATTTCACAGTTTGAAATACCCCTTAAGTAGAAACCTTTCAGGCCGAATGATCTAAGTTCTTGAAGTGGTAAATTTGACTAAGAATATTTTTGGCATGTTTTTCTATGGAATATAATTAAGTTAAATAGGGTATCGAAAATCAGTGGGAAAATGCATACTTACTAAATAGCAATATTTTACAGAATGCGGTCTTTGCAAGGGGTCGGAATGTGGCTCTTTTAAAAGCCTGCCTCTACGTATGACTGAAATATCTTGGGATTAAACTGCACGATAATCACTATGACTTACTTAAGTACGTAAGTAATCTTTTCGAAACGAAAGCACATTGCAGACATTTCGCATTTAGCATTTTCGGACTACAAGCTGTTTATTTTCCGTGGAAGGAAACCCACACATAGAGTGCTCACACAATTTTCAAGTGGCTATGAGACTTGTTGTATACTTTATAAGCAGGTTCAACAAATAGCTAGATGTGATGCGTTATGAATGGATATTTTACTGTCTGAGAAATTCATAATTATAAAATTCTTCGGCCGAATGATATAAGCTCTTCCAGTGGTAAATTTGACAATAATTTACTTTGCTATTACAGGAGTACAAAAAATAATACCTTGTATATGCTTTTCTATGAAATATATTCCAATTTAAGAGGGTATCGAAATCAGTGGGAAGAAATCACATTAAATATGTACTCATTTTTATAGCGTGTGTTTTCTACAGGCGACCGGAAGGTAGCTTGCCCAAAGGCGGGCTTCCACACGCAACTGGAATATCTTGGGATTAAACTGAACGATAATATTACAACCCTGCTTAAGGAATCTTTTCGAAACGAAAACATATTTCAGAATTGTGATTGACACTTCGTGGAATAGCAAATCCCACTGTATATGCGCCTGAGCTTTGTGCGGCTATGACCAATCGATGCAGATAGAAATATCGATCGGTTCACAAATGGCATTCCACAAAGCCGAGGAATTTTAAAGCTGACTCGAGGGAACTACAGCTGAGCCCAGCAAGGAGATGGTATAATTCGACTTCAAATTTTTCTCAAGGTTAATACCGAAGACGCCCAGGACCAGTGGTGTAATCCGTAGGTTGAAACCGATATTCAGTTGGCAGCCTAGAATTTCATCGACTTCCCTAAGTATCGTCTGTGTATCCACAGCCAGTGACCAACACTGTAAATTATATTTTTGATTAGGAAAGTTTATTTAAGTGGGGTTGTAATGCTGGCTGCAGTATAATCCCGAGATATCTCGGATACGACAGGATGCCAACTTTGGAATGCACGTCTTTGCACCCGCCTACATAAGCTGATCTTGATAAAAAAAATGACTGCTTAATTAGTAAGCATTTGTCTATTGAGTTCGCTGTCCTTGTAAATGTAAGCATAGCATGTATAGAAAATGTAAGCTGAAATGTTTTTTTCTTGTGCTTACG